TGCTTTAAATTGTAAATATAATGAGATACCAACTTTTAGTTTAATTGTTTAAAATTTTAGGTGTTAACTGGATGCTTTGCTGATGTCAACAACCCCTTTTTTAAAAAAGAATTCTCACTTTCTGTTTCTACTGCTCTCTCAGGTATCCCTCTGCCTTCTGTTACCTCTTTGCTGAATTCTGAGAGGACTGAGGTGGAGAATACTCTTTCCTGTAACCCATAACCCATCTATTTTCATCAATCTATTTGAAATTCAAAGCCAGGGGTTGAAATGTTCACTTTCAGTTTGAGATGTCTAACTTTCAGATAAATCTATTAACAGGCATTTCGAAGTGACTTTTAAACTAAGCATTTTATTTTATTAAGCTTATATATGGGTAACTATTATACTTGTATAATAAAGTGCACTTTAAAAAATAATCAGTTCAATTAGAAAATAATATTCATGATATTTTGTGACACAAACCTCCTAGAACTTATACATATACATGTCTTTCTCCCCAGAGTAGTCTCTGTGGGTGCTTAAACAATACTGCATTATTAGATTTTTTTTCAGTTTATAAGCCACACAAGAAAGTTAGCCCATGTTGTCTCTTGAGGCAAAAAAACAGACAATGTTCTGAGAAATATCTGTTTATTCCTAGTTCAGTAACACCACAATGAGATCCTAAATTATGAGATACTTTTTGTTTATCTTACTGTCTCATTGGCAGCCAGCAACTCCTGTTGCATTTTTTGACATGGGAACCTATCAGGGTGTGGTTAATAAAGTACATTTCCATGGTAAGTATTCTTTAACAAAAAATAAACCAAAATTTAATCAGAGATAGAACTTACTGCACACTGTAGTTTCCACTTTCTGGTGATTTGTATAATTGAGCTTTTGATTTCATAAATTAAAAAGTTCTCTTTTGTGTGACACATTTTTATATCCAATCATTTTACTTAAAACAGAATTTTCTTTACCATCAAATAAAGTTGCTATAATAAGTAGTGATATATTTAGTCCTAGTGAATCAAAGGGAAATAAAATGTCTTTGATTATGCTGGTTTAAGGAAATATATCCGATTAAACAAAGGTTAATATTTATGATGTTTGATTTAGTAAAATTATAAGACTACTAAAGAAAACTAGAAGAGCAAAAGAACCAAAATTTATATAAAGAATTAAATGTTAATAATTCAAAGGTTTAGAATTTTTTGCATCTTTCAAATACTAAGTTGCCATCATAGATTTACTACCATTATTATCCATATTTTCCATTTTACTAAAAAACAATAATATAAGTTATTATGATAAATCAGTATAGATCTTTAGGCTCAACACAATCCTGCTACCTTTTAATTTTTTTATTATACAACAAACATATGCATTATAAAGAAATATGAGTTGGAAAAATGAAGAAAAATAGTCTTAGCAACTAGAAATAAGCTGACAAAGGGCTAATATCCAGAATCTACAAAAAAACTAAAATTTACAAGAAAAAAAACTGTCAAAAAGTAGGCAAAGGATATAAACAGGCACTTTTTGAAAGAATACATTTATGTGGCCAAGAAACATGAAAAAATGCTCATTATCACTGGTCATTAGATAAATGCAAATCAAAATCACATTGAGATACCATCTTACACCAGTTAGAATGGCAATCATTTAACAAATCTGGAGACAACAGATGGTGGAGAGGATGTGGAGAAATAGGAACACTTTTACACTGTTGGTGGGAGTGTAAATTAGTTCAACCATTGTGGAAGACAGTGTGGCGATTCCTCAAGGATTTAGAAATAGAAATTCCATTTGTCTCAGCAATCCCATTACTGGGTATATACCCAAAGGATTATATATCAGTCATTCTGTTATAAAGACACATGCACACGTATGTTCATTGCGGCACTGTTTACAATAGCAAAGACCTGGAACCAACCCAAATGCCCATCAAAGATGGACTGGATAAAGAAAATGTGGCACATGTACACCATGGAATACTAGGCAGCCATAAAACAGGATGAGTTCATGTCCTTTGCAGGGACATGGATGAATCTGGAAACCATCATTCTCAGCAAACTGACAAGAGAACAGAAAACCAAACACCACATGTTCTCACTCCTAAGTGGGTGTTGAACAATAAGATCACGTGGACACAGGGAGGGGAACATCACACAATGGGGTCTGTTGGGGTGCGGGGGGCTAGGGGAGGGTTAGCAGGGGATGGGGAGATTGGGGAGGGATAACATTAGGAGAAATACCTAATGTAGGTAATGGGGGGATGGAGGCAGCAACCCTCCGTGGCATGTTATACCTATGTAACAATCCTGCAAGATCTGCTCATGTACCCCGGAACTTAAAGTATAATAATAATAAAATAAGCACCATTAAAATTTGTATGTGTTAAAAGATAGTATGCTACTGAAACTCTTTTTTTCTTGAAATGTTCCTCTTTTCTTCTCCTGCTTTTCACTTTCTTAATCCTTAACCTTCTAGTGTTGAATTTTCTGGACCACCGTTATACCCGCTCATCAAGACGGCATTTTTTTCTGCAGTAGCTGAGCACAATGATCATATTGAAGAAATTCACTTGTGGAGCTTTGCTTAGAAGTAAAACCCACTTGGCCAGGCGCATTGGCTCATGTCTGTAATCCCAGCACTTTAGGAAGCTGAGGTGGGCAGGTCACCTGAGGTCAGGAGTTAGAGACCAGCCTGGCCAACATGGTGAAATGCTGTCTTTACTAAAAATACAAAAAATTTAGCTGGTCATAGTGGCCCATGCCTGTAATCCCAGGTGCTGAGGAGACTGAGGCAGGAGAATCGCTTAAACCTGGGAGGCAGATGTTGCAGTAGGCTGAGATCGAGGTTGTGCAACTGTACTCCAGCCTGGGTGATAGAGTGAGACTCTGTCTCGAAAATAACAGCAGCAACAACAAAGTAAAACCCTCTTCACTCTGATGACTATAAGGCTTGCTGTTGCCTCTGTGTATCACAACAAACCGTTTGCAGTCTGATGCTATGCTCAGATTTGAAAATTCTCACTGACTGTTCCAGGCATCTGTCTACTCATTCTTGCCATGCTGAAGACTGTCATTTCTCACCACTGAATGCCTTTTTTTTTTTTTTTTTTTTTTTTTTTTTTGCTGCTTTTTAAAAGCCTTTTCCTGTTTGCTTTGAACTTCAATTAAAAAGGGGGTAAAAAGGTAATAAAGGTAATAGGCTTTTATTTTGTTTTTCAGGTGTTTTCTTTTTTCTTGTTTTGGTTCCTTTTCAAATCCTAGCTTGTCAGGGCCATTTGCCACACTGACACTGGAATAAGCCTGAAGGGGGGTCTGTATTTCTTCCTGTAGTTAGTTTAATTCAGTCACTGAGCTGCTGCTCTATTTGTAACCGCCGTGCTACATCCAAGGGCTGACCATTCCTGAGAAAGTTAGGAGAATCCTTTCAGACTGACGTGGTGCTGGGGCAGGGGGTCAGTCATCCTCTTCTGTGTGTGCTCATTCTTGCATCATTTCTTCTACTCTGTAACCTGGTTGGCTATGAAAAGTGATTCTTCTTCACTGATGCTGCAGGAAATGGGTAAATATCCAATGTTCTCTCAGTTGCTTGTAATCTGATACAAAGAACAAATCTCATGTGTCCCTGTTTCTGAGAGGTTCAAAGGAAGCAAATGCACAGATTCCAGCATAGGATGAGTTCCAGTTTCTAACTATTTGTCTGTGCCTTCCATTTCCTCACCCCTGTGAGAGGTTGCACTCATGGTCATGGCTGTTCTGAGAAGTTCAGTGCCCAGACTGGAGGGAGGGAAACGCAAACTCAGCTTCTTCCCAAGCTTCGGGCCTGGGCTGGCAAGTTTTGCCTTCCCTGCCAGCAAGAGCCCTGGCTTTGGGTGTCTTGCTACAGTTTTCTCAGATTGGAGGACTTGGGGATGACTTCTGGTTCATAGTGAATTCCTGCCAAACACCTCCCCTTTCTCTGGTATCCATTTGTCTTGAAGGTCCTTGGCAGGCTTCTTGCCAACAATTATCTAAAAACAAATGGAGTTGTTTGCATGCCTATATGGAGTAAAAGCATTTAGGAAACTCTTACAGCCCAGATTTGGGCCAGAAGTCCTGGTTCTGAGTCTTTACTTAGCCACTCTTAACTGAATTACTGGACAAATCATTTCTTGCACTCTGTGTAATCTGTCACCTGGGTACTTGAAGATTTAAACCAGGAATTGTGGACTTCCTCATAATACCATCTCCTAAATATTGGGTGAAATTAGCATATCAAGGAGGGCAGGGAGCTATATCCATAGGGGACTCTCTTTGTCTGTGTCTCTCTCTCTCTCTGTCTCTCGGATATTCATCTTTGGTGGCAGACCTGGTGTTCAAACCACAGTTGTTTTGAAGTTTCTCTTTCCTACTACACTATGCTGCCCCTCCCTGAAACTTTAATAATAAAAATAGCACACTTATTGGTCATGTATTTGTTATGTGCCAGGTTCTGTGCTAACAGCTTTAAGTGCATTATTTTACTTATCTTTTCACACAACTTCCTATGAGGAAGAGGTTATTTCCACTTGTAGATAAAGAAACTGAGACTCAGGGGGCTGCGGTGGCTCCGGCCAGTTGTCCTGGCACTTGAGGAGGCGAGGCTATGAGTTCAAGGCCAACCTGAGCAACAAAACAAGCTCTCACTGATTAACAAAAAAAGAAACTGAGACTTGGATAATGTAAGTGATTTTATTCACAAAGACAGAGCAGTAAGTGGGAGGCTCTGTTCACCTCTGAGCAGAGCCCTGGCTTCTGTCATCCATGGTGCTGTTTCTAATGTGGTTTGAAGAACCTGTGGTCTGAACTGGTATATATAGGTGACCTGCTGCTTTCTTAGAGAGAAATCTGAAAGACAGTGGAGCCCTCACATAGGCTTTGCCTGTGCACAGCAGATACCGCCAATTTTGAACGCATTACACTTGTTTACCATGTTGCTTACTTCAAAATCAATAAAATTCTCTTCATGCTTTTATTTTACAGGTTCTTAAATTATTTGGATTATTGTCTAAAAGTGTTAATGCTCAAGTGACTGATATCAACCCCAAGGGGCTGGAATTGAGGAAGACTGTTACTGCCGTTGAGACTCAGAACTTGGAAGACCAGTATTACGTGGACCAATTCTGCCGTAAGCCCTGTGGTCCAGGTATGTTACACAAGACATCCGGAGATTACAGTGCAAGTCGCAGTTAGGAGTAGCACATAGTAATAATTACTAGAAAAATGTTACGGCTTTTGGTTCTCTTATATAGCAAAACTGGGAGAAAAAACAACTATGAAACTATTTTCCAAAGATGAATTTTATTTATATTTGTCACACTTATTTGATGTGGTTATGGATAAATATAATTTACAAGTGACATGCACCTATGAAATGAGAAGATTGGTCTGTTTTGCTTCATTTTTTTTCTAAGCAAAAATGACTCATTTGTGAATATGAACACTTATAATGTCAAAACTGATTAGGGTCTCTCATAATAATAGTGGAACTCTGAAAGCAAGGGACTTCTACTCTTTCAGGGACATGTCTCAGCACTTTCCTTCAATCAGTAGGTCTCTAAGAAAGCTTTCCTGGCACTGAAGCCTGCAAAATATATTTGCATTTTGCAGCTGAATAACTAGATGAAAAAGAAAAGAAACAAGCAGACGCACACAGCCTTTTTTTTAAATCAATACTTTGAAAGGCAAACTAATTTCGGATCAGAAATCCTTCAAACACTGGTCAATTAGAAGCTAAGAAAAATGCAATTGTGCAAACATTTTTTCAAGTTTGAGTAGAGTTGAAAAAAGGAAAACTATCACATGGGTTCATGTGATAGGTTAATAGAACCAAAAGGGACTGTAGTACGTTTCACGGTTGGCCTCCCAGGCTTCCAGCACCCAAGCTGCAAAACAGGATGGGTCCTATCTGTGAAAAGAGTCTACCAGTCTCCCTATGCTTCCTGTCCAGATTTTAATAACCCTTATGAAACAATCTTCCCCATAACCCAACCCATTTACACTTAAACCCATCACGCTTAAATCTTTCCAACACGAATAAAAAATGGCTTCCTGGCTTTATTAAAACTTGCTAAACACAATCAATTTGTCCAATAAATTGAAATCTTTGTTTATAATTTTAACACCTAAAATGCAAGTTAAAATGAAGAAAATATGCTTTGCACATCAAAATATCAAGGATTTTTGTTTGCTGCCTTTTTGGTTTTGCTTTTTTTAATTTTCATTTAAGAAGTATAAATGTAAATTGTTATAAACTTTTAAGAAAGAAATTTGGATATATGAGTCAAAATTTTAAAAATGTGTATACACGCTAAGATAGCAATTAACTTATAAGAAAATGCCTTGAGAAAATAATAAAAAATAAAGGAAAATATTGTACACATAATATTTCATTATCAATATGATGTGGAATTGCTTAGGTAAATTTAGGGATGTTCAAAGACTGAAATAGTATGTATGAAACAAAGTCATGTTTTCTGATATATTTCTAATATAATTCTCAATTATATAAATCTTCTTAAGTCATTTCCAACTGATGTGCCTGGATTAATGATTCTCCCTGATCCCTCTATAAAATACCCTGGGTGGCATCCAACCATTTTAAATACTCCGCCCATTTCAGTTCCCTCTTGTTGAATTTTAGGCTTATCAATTCAAATTGCTTCCACATCTGTTTATGCTTATTGGTGTTGTGATAATCAAATGTAATTTCATTGAATATTGCATATATCAATGAAATACAAATACAGAGAAAAGACAGATTTTATTTCTATGAAAACTAGGTTGAGTGCTTTGGAGAATTCAGTAAAGATGAGCTGCTAAAATGTTGTTGATGAATTATGTGAGGGCAAAAATAAATGTTAAATAGTAGAAAAAAGTCACAAAAATATCTAAAGCCATTCATACAGATTATTGGTGTGTTTATGTTTTCATTTCATCAGGAAGGGGCTGGGCTTGGTGGCTGAAGCCTGTAATCTCAGCACTTTGGGAGGCCGAGGTGGGCGGATCATGAGGTCAATAGATCGAGACCATCCTGGCTAACATGGTGAAACCTTGTCTCTGCTAAAAAAAAAAAAAAAAAAAAAAAAAAATACAAAAATTAGCTGGGCATGGGTGGTGCGCACCTGTAGTCCCAGCTATTCAGGAGGCTGAGGCAAGGAAGTGGAGGCTGCAGTGAGTCAAGATTGCGCCACTGCACTCCAGCCTGGGTGACTGAGTGAGACTCCATCTCAAAAAATAAAAGAAAGAAAGGAGGGAGAGAGGAAGGGAGGAAGGGAGGAAGGAAGAAGGGAAGGAAGGAGGGAAGGAGGGAAGGAAAGATGAAGGGTGGGAGGGAAGGGAAAAAAGAAAGATATGAAGAAAGAAAGAAAAACAGACAAACAGGAAATTATAGGTAATACGTTATGGATGAGACTTAAGTAGGAAAAAACCTGGGATTAATAACTTTTACATCACAAGATTGTCAAGTGATTGTATAGTTATATTTTATAAATTAAAATATTTACAGTATTTGTAAGTGATTTCCTATGTAAATTGACATTTTTTATTAAATGATCAAAGAAGTCCTCCCCACATCATCATATTTAATAAGAAGGATTCTATGGTATACTGCATACATGTTTCACGTATGCACATTATACATATATATACACACACACCTGTTATGTGTATGCTCATGTATATATATATATATATATATATATATGTATTTATATGCATAGGAATGCAACAAAATAACAGTCAATATCTCAGGATTTTCGATATATAGTTGTTGTTGTTGTTGTTGTTTTTTGTTTATTGTTCTTGAGATGGAGTCTCACTCTGTAGTCCAGGCTGAAGTGCAGTGACATGATCTAGGCTCACTGCAACCTCTGGCTTCTGGATTCACGTGATTCTCCAGCCTTAGCCTCCCAAGTAGCTGGGACTACAGGTACACACCACCATGCTGGCCTAATTTTTTGTATTTTTCATAGAGACAGGGTTTTGCCATGTTGGTCAGTCTGGTCTCAAATTCCTGACCTCAGGTGATCTGCCTGTCTTGGCCTCCCAATGTAGTGGGATTACAGGTATGAGCCATTGTGCCTGGCCTGTTATGTAAGGGCTTATTACACTTTCCTGCCTTTTTCAAATTTTCTACAATAAGCATATGTACCATTATACTAAAAAAGTATTTTAAAATATTATTTTCAATAAAACAACCATTCATTTTTCTTATTTTAATAAATTGTTTTCATACTTTGAAGGAAAGAAGGAACCTGTGGTTTATTGTATCTCTATCATACCAAAGATGTTGTGCTAGGCACATTCTGCAAGATAATTCATTAAAGAGACCAATTCATTCAGAGACCAATAGAACACCACTAGCAAAAAATAAAATTATACTTGGACTTGGGCTCTGTTTTTTTTAAAATATTGCTACAATCTCATATAGCCCTAAGCACTATTTTTGAATTTTGTTCTGGGAATCTTCAGTTTGTTTATTTTTCTCTATTGACAACTATTGTCTTTACTTACTAAAATAGCATATACATTTACATGTCATCATTTGCTCATGGAGTAAATATTTTGTTTTATCAAAAACAATATATGAAGTTATTAAGGAAGTCATGTACCTAGGAAACACAGCAGAAATTCTTTTTGCTGTATATATGAACACAGCATATTAGACTGCTTATTTTTTTTTTTTTTTTTTTTAGACAGAGTCTTGATCTGTCACCAAGCACCAGGCTGGAGTACAGTGGCACAATCTTGGCTCACTGCAACCTCCACCTCCTGGGTTCAAGCAATTCTCCTGCCTCAGCCTCCCTAGTAGCTGGGACTACAGGCACATGCCACCATGCCCAGCTAATTTTTGTATTTTTTAGTAAAGATGGGGTTTCACCATGTTGGCGAAGATGGTCTCAATCTCTTGACCTTGTGATCTGCCCACCTCGGCCTCCCAAAGTGCAGGATTACAGGTGTGAGCCACCACGCCTGGCCTAGACTGCTTATTTTTAAAAAAATTAGTTATACTATTAACAATTAGAGTCACTAATAATATTTTTCTCAGACACCTCCCCTGATATTTTCTGTCACTTTCTTCTTCATTCTCTATTTCCTTACCTTCATCTCGCTTTCCCCATAGCACTTTTTTAGCACTTGATATCAATATATTTATTTGAGTATTGTAAATGCCTCCAGCCTGAGAAGGTAAAGTCGTTGGTGATTAAGGCTTTATCTCATTTCCTGCACAATAACAAACTTATGAAAAGTTCCTAACACTCAGTAGGCATTTAATAAATACCTATCAGATAAATGAATTTTTCAAGAGAATACATTGGATAATATTAACAGCAATACAGTGAATCACTTTATTTTTAAAGTAAATTAATATAAATATGTATATTATTTAAAATGGTTTGTTTTAAGATAACAAACCTGATAGATAATAAATTTTGTTTTAAGTTTGTTAATGCTCATCAAAAATCATCAATATGGGCCCTGCCTTTTGATGAAAAAGTAATAGAAAGGGGAGAACAAAGGTGCTCACTAGGCAGGCTGAGTGCCATTCTAACAACAATGCAAGAAAAGTATTCCTATCTCCATCATTTGCAGGATGAAATTTATGCTTGGAGAAAACCACACTTTGTTAAAGATTTTACAGCTGCTAAAGATTTGACCAAGACCTTTAAAACTTCAAATGTTATTTTCCTTATTACACTATTTCTTATCAGGATCTGTGGACTTTGGAAAGTAAAATAAGAAGTCAGAGCAATGAGTTAGTTGGATATTCTCAGTGCCCAGTAGCAACCGTCCCGACTCTGAATATAAACCTACCAACCTCTCCCCTTTCTCCAAAGAAGTTAGTTGTTGACATAGGTTGTCCAGTGGATTTTCTCATTCTAACCTTCCTTTTTTTTTTTTTTTTTGTATGCTCCTGTTGTTAATCATCCTATTTCTATAGGTATATTCCTTCAATCACTCTTTTAGCTTTTGTCTTGGGAGACTTTCTGACTCTTGACATGACTTTTACAATAATTTTCTCCCCCATTGTATTTATAATTCATTAGCCTATTGCCACTCCCCTTGTGTTTTGGAAGAGTTTTATTGTCTGTCATCCCTGCATACTTCCCACCCTGTTGCTTGTCGATGTCCTATTCAAACACTTGTCCCTTTTTTCCTTGGACAGGCGAAAAGAAAGCTAGGGAGTGTACAGTGGATGGGGATGAACCAGACTGCGTGCCCTGCCAAGAAGGGAGGGAATACACAGACAAAAGTCATTTTTCTTCCAAATGCAGAAGATGTAGATTGTGTGACGAAGGACATGGTAAGAGTCTTAAAAAGCAATTGAAAGAGACTGATCTTGGAATTCCATGTAGAGCCATTTATAAGACAATTTGAAATTGGGGTCTACTGTGGTGTTACATTGACATACAGGAAAGGGAAGGACAGGTGGCTAGGGTACTGCAGGACCAGGTACTGAACTAATTACTTATTTAGACCTTTACAAGTAGTTCTAGGCAATTCTTCCAGATGTAGAAGAATGACTAAATATGAACCCTAGGAACAGGGTTCATCAGCTCAAATCAAAACCTCATTTTTTTTTTTCTGGCCTTGATTTATACTTGTGTAATGGTGCTCGTTCATGGCCAGAAAAAGCTCAGAAGCCTGCAAATACAAGGACACAGAAATCCAACAGGTGGGTAGAAATGCTTCTCATTTCTTTGGGGATTTAGTTTGTCCTGATAATTCCCACTGGGGACCTGAATCTTCATGGATATCTCAATCTATTCTAAGGGCCCAGATTAAAGTATAAGAGAAGTATTTCTAGTTTGGTTTGACATGAAGAAGCCTCTGGACATAAAGCTTTTCCTGTCCCTATTCAGGCTGTAAAGCAATGTTTCTCATCCATGGCAATGCATTAGAATTGTTTAGGGAGCTACTAAAAATGTTTAATGTTTAGGTCCTGCTCAGGGCAATGAAATCAGTCTCTAACTGAGGGCATTGGTATTGGTCTGGTTCAGTCTAGGGTAGAGTCTAACATTCTGCATTTTTTCTTTGAGGCAGAGTCTCACTCTTTCACCCAGGCTGGAGTGAAGTGGTACAATCTCAGCTCACTGCAACCTCCGCCCTCTGGGTTCAAGCAATTCTCCTGTCTCAGCCTCCTGAGTAGCTAGGATTACAGGCGCCCGCCAACAAGCCTGGCTGAGTTTTGTATTTTTAGTAGAGACAGGGTTTCACCACATTGGCCAGCCTGGTCTCAAACTCATGACCTCAGGTGATTCACCCACCTTGGCCTCCCAGAGTGCTGGGATTACAAGCATGAGCCACCACCCCCAGCCCAATCTGCATTTTTAACAAACTCCCAATTGATGCTGATGCTGCCAGTCCCCAAGTCACCGTTGAGTATTAAGGCTGTAGACAAGAGGAATGGTGAGGTTTGTCTTGGTGGCTACTAAATGATTGCTGACTATTTCAATCTGGGGTTGCCTGTTCTGTGTTTAAACCCCAACTGTATTACGAGTGTTATGCTGTGACTGTCGATATAAGCGGTAGATCTCAAAAATCCGTGCAGCTCCTGACCACCATTTTCATAGTCCATTTATAATTAGCTCTTATAACTAATAGTTTGCAAATTGACTCTCCAGGCTTAGAAGTGGAAATCAACTGTACCCGGACCCAGAATACCAAGTGCAGATGTAAACCAAACTTTTTTTGTAATTCTGCTGTATGTGAACACTGTGACCCTTGCACCACGTAAGTTTTAGTCTTTCTCTGATTAAAACACTAGCTATAACTTGAGAATTACTGTTTTCCTAGGGAAGTAACACTGATTGACAGTTAAAAATTAGGGTTTTAGTCTTGCTTTGCCTCTAAGCGATTAGATGACCATTTGCTCATTTAAACATTAGTGAACACTTCCTGTATAGGTGATACTGTGCTGGCCAGTTAAGTTAAAGATATGAGCCAGACACATGCCTGACATCAAGGTATCAGTCCAGGAGCACAGAGAGTCGAGAAAAGCAATGGTTATTGTGTATCAACAGCATGAGAATAGCATCAGAGGAGACTTATGTTCCAGGTATTACAAATTACACAGGAAAAGTTCTCAACTCTGCCTGAGGAGATGGAGGTGAAGACATGAATGTGTCTCATGGCTTCAGTCTTGAAGAAAGAAAAGAAAGCATTAACAGGTGCACATGGATGGAATGCACATTTGAGGCAGGGGAAGACAAAGAGACAAAGGAAGTTCAGGAAAACAGGGTACCTGGCTGGAGTATAGGAAAGACTGAGAAGGGGTCAGGGCTGAATCATGAAGGGCTTTGTCTTTTAGGCTAAAGAGGTTGGTTTTGACCCAGAGTTAGAGAACCTGACTTGTAATTCATCTTGGGAAGCTTTTAGGAGTTTATCGAATAGGCTTAAGAATTAAAGACATGATGCTTTCTGTTTTATTTGCTAGAAAAATTTTATGTGCAATTGTCCCAGACTCTCCCGTGGCCCCATGTGCCTTCAAGTGCCCCTGTGATGGCAGGGTAGGTAGGCACTGGGGAAGGAGCTGACTTAGTAAAATAATAACAATATTTTGTAATCTTGATTTAATTTTCTTTTCATCATAACCTTTTGAAATAGATACTATTATTTCCATGTTATTGATGAGAAAATAGGCTCATGGCAGTTTGACTTCACAAGCTCACCTAGTCAAGTAATGGGCAGAGGCTGTGAACTCAGGCAACCTGACTGTCAATGTTTGTCTGTCTGAAGGAAGTCCCGCATGAACCTCTTGTGGCTCCTGATCACCACCGGATGCTAAAAGTGGCAGCCTCTAAAGGCCAGCTGAGTAACCTCCGTAAACTGCATCATGGGTGTGGCTGTCATCGGGCCATTTTCTTGGTCTATGGGAATTTTTGAAATTACTTTTGGCAGTTTATTTTAAGAGCTAGTTTAAGCTATAGGATTTGTGTTCAGTTTATTACCAGGTTTAAGTTTATTTTTGTGTCTACTTCATCTCTCTTGTGTATCAATATTTTTCTATCTTCCTTTAACTTTTGAAATTTTAAAATAGTCATTCCTTATGATATTTTTTATCTAGCCATCCAAATTGTATTAACTTGTGCCAACTTTAGATACTAATCTAGAAATATTTGAGGGAATACATTTGCCAGAGATGCAAAGATGAATAAAATGGCCTCTAATTTATAATGTGCCATTGAAAATGATAAAAGAATCATTCTGTCAGGCTTTTGAATTTCCCCTGTACTTTTTTTCTAGATGTGAACATGGAATCATCAAGGAATGCACACTAACCAGCAATGCTAAGTGCCAAGAGGAAGGTAATTTTTTTACAGTTATCTTCTCCTTTCCCCCAGCCCCATGGAAAAATGTGAAGAAAAAACAATCACTTTTGATTATTTGAGAGTCCTCTGTTTAATCTTAAAGACTGCTTATTTTCATATAAAATGTCCAATGTTCCAACCCACAGGATTCAGATCTGACTTGCTGTGGTTGTGTCTCCTTTTCCTAATTCTACCAGTTGTTTGGGGTAAGTTCTTGCTGTGTTCGAACTATAGATTGAAATAACTTAGGAAGTAGTTCACAAAAAATATGCCTCACTCCTAACTATAAAAATCTGCCAGTTTGGTAGATTTATGTATTGTTAATTTCTTGCCCCTGAATGCAGCCTTGAGAGTTGATTGATAAGAACAAATGAAATGATCCCTCAGCTATTTTCTGAGCAACAGTTTTGGGGCATTGAGTGGTATTCCAATCCTCCCTATGAACAAGGGCTCTCTGCAGCAGCAGAGTTGGCCAAAAATCAGAAGTAGTTAGTCACTATTTATTGAGATCTCCCTGTGCAAAAAGAAGACACAAGAAGCAAATGCATTCCCAGGAAACATACTGCAAGGAACTCTTTAAAAAAAACAACAACTTGTCTTTCTCTTCCTCCTCTTCCTTGCCCAAATTGCTTGTTTTTAATTATTTCACCTTAACTTAAAATACTATGGGGATACGTGTTATGTAAGGGCGACTTAGTAGTCAGTAGATAAGCTGAAATTAGGTATAATCATAATTAGTCTAGAAAAATCCCTTTAAATCATCCACAAACTACAGGGTCACACCAGCTTTCGATAACTTAGAAGTATCCAATTTTCCCTTCTCTGTTGGAACAATGCTCTGTTTCTTCAGTTCAGTTGAAGAAGAAAGTTTGCCTTGCCTTTAGCATTGTTTAGCTGAAAATACATTCTGGATGTTTAAGCCACTGTGATTGTGCTCAGAGACATGCAGATTCTTCTATCTCACATTGATTTTAATGCATACACCTATTGAGTACGTATACTTGAGTTATTTGTGTGTGTGTTTGAATTTCTGGGCATCCATGGCAAGTCAATGTTGACTTGCTCATCCTATGGCTTCTGTGTCCTGCCACAGTCTTGCCACTCACATCTTTGCTGGAGAGGAAGTGGTGCTAGCCATCCGATTAGTCAAAAGCCATCTCCATGCTAGGCCAATGTGTGGTAATTACATGACTAATTAACATATGTCCTTTCACTAGAACACTTCACTCAGTGGTACGCGAATTCGAAAATCAACTGCTTCCTGCAATATTTGTCCACATTTAAGTTTCAGTGAATTTCTCCTTTTTGCTTCTTATAGTTCTCTTGCATGAAAGTGGTGAAAGAGTGAAAGAATGTTCTCACATGCATTCTACAAGGCTGAGACCTGAGTTTGATGAAATTTATTTGTTCTTTCAGGGGTGATAAGATACATAAAGCACAGAAGGGCAAACCAAGGTCATCGTGAATCTACAACCTTAAATTCTGTAGGTATTGAAATAGACATCAGCTTTCCTTGGGGGAAAAAAAAAACAGAGAAATTAGTGATTTGGCTTTTTTTTTAACTTCCTTTTGCTTTTTTGTTTCTTGTTTGAGATGGAGTCTTGCTCCATAGCCCAGGCTGGAGTGCAGTGGTACAGTCATGGCTCATGCAGCTTCAAACTCCTGGGCTCAAGTGATCCTCCTGCCTCAGCTGGGACTCTGGGACTACAGGCATGCACCACCATGCCAGGCAAATGTTTTTAGAGACAGGGTTCACTTTGTGGCCCAGACTGGTCTCAAACTTTTGGCCTCAAGCAGCCCCTCTGCCTCAGACTCCCAAAGTGCTGGGATTATAGGTGTGAGCCATCACATCCAGCCTGTTACTTTCTTTATTTAAAGATTGACTGTGTTTGTGTGTGCATAGGTTAAAGGGGCCTCACAGATGAACGATGATATGGTACCCAATTTAAAAGTAAGCTTCTACGCAAAAACCATGAGAATCAATAAAGAGGGAATTGAGAGTGTGCTGAAACAAGTTGAACATGGCCAACTTCCATGTTCCGTATTGTTATTGTCCCTGCAGAGAAACAGCCTTTACCAGGCATGGGTTCAGTATCAAGCCTGAGCAAAGAGATTGCTTAAAGTTTGTCATAAAGGCACAGCTTAACTTTCTCTGCCTGCCGGTCAACCTTATGTCCCACCATATCTTTTCCCAACATGGTATCAATACATTCCAAATAGCAAAAATACACTGAGAAAAGAAAACAGTTTCACTAAATGGAATTACTTTCTTATTTGGGGCCAGGGCTCAGTGGGAGTTAGGATTCTTCAGATTAAAATGGTCCAAAAAATTTTAATTTGAACCATTTTCTGTTATCAAAAATAAGAATAAGTTACAGGGAAGAAAATTTTAGAGTGATTATTATTTTAATAAGTCTATATGAAAAATAGACTTATTAGAAGTCTATTTGCTCAAAAAATAAAAGTCTTATTGCTCAAACTACTTTATGAATTCTTTAGGTTTCTTGCCTCTAAAAACTAAGACAATATTGCCTAGTTTCTGGCAAGGCTGGAACCTTTCAGAATCAAAATTGAATGGTGAAAGTATCCTTCTTAATCACTTAATCTAGTTTTCTAATTTTATACATCAAGCAACTCATTGTACTTCTTTTCCTAAATTGAGGAAAAATTAGAAGTTTACATTTAGAATATTCGAGACATATATTTTTGTCTTTCTCTGATTTTATTTTTTGCTTTCTAGGAAACGGTGCCAATTAATTTACCTGGTAAGGCTTTTATCATTTTATTTTATAGAGATCGCTTCTTTTAGAGTAATAGGCCAATTTCCGAGTCAAATAATGTTGCTAATTTCAGTGACATACTGTGGGATTTTGCTATTTCTCATACAATTCTACCCGCTCAGCATATAGCATTCATTAGGCAGTTTGTTTAAATTTATAATGAATACTCATAGTTAAAAATAAATCAAGTAACAATAGGATACAATAGTCTGAGGCTTAAGAAAATTTTCCTTCATAATCAACTAGATGTATTATAGAACGCTGCCTAAACAGATCTAGAATTTTTTTTTTTTTTTTTTTTTGAGACGGAGTATCGCTCTTGTTACACAGGCTGGAGTGCAATGGCGTGATCTTGGCTCACCGCAATCTCTGCCTCCTGGGTTCAGGCATTTCTCCTGCCTCAGCCTCCCGAGTAGCTGGGATTACAGGCACGCGCCACCATGCCCAGCTAATTTTTTGTATTTTTAGTAGAGACGGGGTTTCACCATGTTGACCAGGATGGTCTTGATCTCTTGACCTCGTGATCCACCCACCTCGGCCTCCCAAAGTTCTGGGATTACAGGCTTGAGCCACCTCGCCCGGCCCAGATCTAGAATTTAAAGTGAACTGTAGACTCAGGTATGACTGGTGTACCCAACTCTGTAACAACATACATGATTCCATTCAGTTGTTCTTTGATCTGTGATTTAGAAATAAGATGATCATAAACTCTGCTTATACTTTTAGATTTGTGGGTCATTGATCATTGGATCCATAAGGGGTGTTATAGGTGATCTTTTCCAATCCTCTTATTTTATAGATGAGAAAAGGAGATACAGAATGTTATGTTGTGTCAAGGTCATATAGCAAATTACTGGGTACATGGCAGGATTTGGAGTAAGAACTCAAGGTTGTCTTTTTTCTGTATTCCCCCAGTCAGCTCTTTATGGGTCTTTAGGACTTAGCTATATTCTGAAGTATTATACAAAGAAAAATAAATATGATTTTCAGTAACGGGAATTGTATTTAGAAAAACAAATTTTCAGACTATTTTCTATTTTTTAGATGTTGACTTGAGTAAATATATCACCGTTATTGCTGAACACATGACAATAAGTCAAGTTAGAGACTTTGTTCGGAAGAATGGCGTCAATGAAGCCAAAATAGATGAGATCAAGAATGACAATATCAAAGACACAGCGGAACAGAAAGTTCAGCTGCTTCGTAATTGGTATCAACTTCATGGGAAGAAAGATGCATATGACACTTTGATTAAAGGTCTCAAAAAAGCCAATCTTACTGCTCTTGCAGAGAAAATTCAGAATATCATCATCAAGGACTCAGAAAGTTCAAACTTCACAAATCAAAATGAAAACCAAAGCATGGTCTAGAGCGAAAAACAATGAATTCAGTTCTCAGTATATACAATTAGTGTTTGAAAAGATTCTTAATAGCTGGCTGTCAATACTGCTTGTTTTTTTACTGGGTACATTTTATCATTCATTAGCTCTGAAGAGACAACATATTTATAGATTTTTGAACATCTCATGATTCTGCCTCCAAGGATGTTTAAAATCTAGTTGGGAAGACAAACGTTATCAAGAGTAAATGTGGTGGCCTGCTAAGTACTGAAAGATTAAGATTATGCTCTGGTATCTAACATAAGATTCTGTAGTATGAATGTAATCAGTATATGTTAGTACAAATGTCTATCCAGCGGCTAACCCCATTCCATGAATCAATAGAAGAAGCTATGACCCTTCGTTGAAATGTCAGTTACTGAATCAAGTCACTTTGCCTCTAAATTACCTCTGATAATTCTAGAGATTTTACCATATTTCTAAACTTTGTTTCTAACTCTGAGAGGAACACATGTATGTAAAATATATATATTTGAATGCAGAATTTATATAAGGCTCTACCTCAAAGACATTTGCACAGATTATTGGTGTCCTATTATACAGTATTTCAAATGTGAGTTCACATAAACATTAAATTATGATGTTTGAATATTATATATGTGTATGCATTTTACTGGCTCAAAATCATTTACTTCTTTCTCAGGTATCAAAGAAGCTAGAGAGTATTACTAGAGCTTTGCCACCTCTCCGGTTTCTCCTTGGTGCTCGTCTTAATGACCTAATACACCCAAACATGAAAGTATCACCAAAAAAATACTGAATAATCTAACAAAAGGCAAGACTGCCCTTAGAAATTCTAGCCTGGTTTGGAGATACTAACTGCTCTCAGAGAAGGCAGCTTTGTGACAAATCATGAACCCATGTCTATCATCAAAGATGATAAAATAGATTCCTGTTTTTCCCCTGCCCCTTGAAATGTTCAATAATGTCCCATGTGTTTGGCTACAAATGGCGGCTTATACATAGCAATGGTAAAATCAATATCTGGATTTAGGAATTGCTCTTGTCATGCCCTGAAGGTTCTTAGACTTACAAGCTTTCTCCTTAACACTGTCCTACATTTAAATATCATTGAAAGTTTGTATTAAGTGTGAATTTTAAGAAATACTACTTATATTTCTATAAGTGTAAACTGTGGAGATAGTTATAAACTGAAGCAGATACCCAGAACCATGTAAAGAACTTCCATTTATGGAGGATATTTTTGCCCCTTATGTTTGGAATATAAAATATAGGTAAAAATACTTAATATACTTAATTATAATGTTTTTGGTATTTCTGGTTTTCCTCTTTTTTGGTAGGGGCTTGCTTTTTGTTTTTGTGTTCCTTTTCTCTAACTGTTGCTAAATATAACTCATTTATGAATCTTTAATGCTTCTTGGGTCTCTGAGACGGTACTTCTTTTAACCTCCCTTTAGTAGTTAAATAATTATTTACATAGGTTGCTACTGCCAAGAAGACCTCTTCCAAACAGAACATGATTATTTGTTAAACAGCATCATATTCCAGATACTGGAAAGTGGATAAGAACGTATAAATTTCAAGGGGTAGATTTTATTAGTAAGAAAGCCAAATGCAGATTTTGAAATATTCTTTCCTGCGTATTTTTCATTCTAGCTACATGCTGGCCAATAGACCATCTTTCTTTTTTAAAATTTAATTTTAATATTGTATTCAATTTAATCCATGACTGCCAAAATATTAGCATTTCAACATGTAAGCATGTCAGTGAGATAACTGTGCTTTGTTTAGGGTTACCCCCTGTGTCGTGGTCTAGAAAGTGTCTTTAGGTAGAAAGTCTGAGTGATCATAGGGTTCCCTCATTAATTTATCTTCTCTGAGCAATCACAGTCTGTGCTGCCTGCCCTCCTGTTTTCTACTTCTAGGCAGAAGAAGGACAAGTCAAGCACTATTCTTCAGGGCCAGAAGTGCAAGTTCTACTTTGCAAGGCAAAATTAACTTAGAGAACACCCTATTCCACTTTAGTCAGTTCCAGCCAAGAACTTTGAGTTCCTTTGGGAGGAGGGCAGTGGAGAAGTCTTTGTACTTGGTGGTGTGGTTTTTTTCATCATGCCTCCACCTAGTGGCCCCAAGAATGACTTCTCCCACATCAACAATCACAGCCATGTTCCTGAGTTGAAGTGACCTTTTTGTCCAAAATCATCCTCATTCTGTTGAACCTGGTGCTCTTTGTGGTAGGCATACTGGGTAGGGAAATCACCCAAAGGTCAACCATGAGCTGCAGAAAAAAAGGCTATTTGCAGAAGGAGCTCACAAGTCACATTTGAAAGCACTGCATATTCAAACATCTTGGTCTTCCTCATCAACATTCCTACAGATTCTTCTGATCTCTGATTTGATCAGATGCTTTTTAGCTATTGAATGATCAGTTTCGGTACAACTATCTGAATAAGGCACATAACCAATGAAATTTAGAATTTTTTCTATGTTCACTCCTGAAGGTAGTTTGTTTGGGTTTAGAATTCTATACCATGGCATTTGTAATTTTCGTCAGCACTTTAAAAATATTAAACCACTCAACATCTGTTGCTGTTGATGATGTCTGTTGTTGGTGTAAATATCATTCTTTTGTAGGTCATTTTAAATTTTTTTTCCTGGGGTAATTTTTGAAGCTTCCCCCACCACTTTCCTATGTGTTCTGCAATTTCACAGCAATGACTATCAACATGGATTTATTTTTACTTAATGTATTAAATAAGATTTAATTTAATTAGGAAGACAGGGCTTTCATCATTTCTGGAAAAAATCCCAGCTATTTTCTCCTTGAATAATGCTTCTTTACCACTCCATTCTCTTCTTCTGAAACTCTTATTATTATCTGTTGAAGCTTCTCAAGTTATTGTCTAGGTCTCTTTTTTTTTTTAATATAATTTTCTCTGTATGTTACATTTTAGGAAATTTCTCATTACTCTCTTTAAATTAACTCTTTTAGTTTTTACTAAGCCAGCCTAGAATAGTATAGTCTATCCACTGAGGCATGTATGTTGTTTTCTGTATTTTTCATTCTTAATATTTCTTATTGCTCTTTGCTCTTTTTACATTTTTACTTGTATATATTTCATTCCTGCTTGTTTTTCTTTTCTTTCTTCTTTCCTTTTCTCTCTCTCCCCTCTCTCTTTTTCTTTTTTCTTTCTTTTTTTTCTTTTTTTTTTTTGGCAGTGCAGACAGACAGACTTTGTGAGTAGAGCAGAGGTGCTCACAGAGCAGGCAGAAGGCATCAGTGCCTGGATTTATCCCTTCCTCTTTCTGTTCCTGCCGGGCCCTAGGAGGATGGGGCCTGGCCTGGACCAATTTCTCTTGCTCTACCTAAAACACATGAGAATGAAAAGCTCAGGGCCGGCCCTCTTGTTGTAACTTGAATGTAATTACTTCAATGAAAGGATAAGACCTCTCCTTCTCCAGCGCATAGGCAAGAAACCCCAGCCACTATGTAGAGACAATTTTGTGGGGCCTGGGCTTAGGAATATCCTTGAGACACCCCCACCCCACACCCTTTAGTTCTCTGGGGCTCAACACACTTTCTTTATTTTATTGACAGTTTATTATAGTTTAATAAATCATATTCCATTATTTATCTCCTTGAAGATCCTACTCAGTTATTTTAAAGTCTTTTTTAGAATTGCTGTTATTTTAATTTTAACTGCAGTGATCTCCTGCTGACTTTGTAGCTTGGCTTTCCTCACATGATTTTCCTCATAAATTTTTGAAATTTGTAGGCTTATCTTGAGGAGCAGATTTCTTTTCTCTCTGCACTCACCTCTCCTTATCTAATACTTTTGTGTATTCTTTTGCCAGATCTTCCAGAGTCCCCAGTTCTGAGCCAAAATTTACTGAGATAATTTTGAGTCTCATACCTCTTGGTGATATCAGGGCTATCACAGATTCAGTCATGCATTTTGGGCAGCTTGGCTCAGCCATTCATAATAGGCTGTGCCAAATATTCCCAGATCCTTAGGCCTGTAGCTTTCTAGAAGCCTCAGTCCCAGGGAGTGCTTGGCAGTAGCTCTGTCTTAGCTGTCTTCCATAAGACAGAAGGTTCTGAGAGAGAAGAAAGGAAATAAAACTGGTTAGGCAGGCAGTTAGGATGCGTCCTTGGTAAAACTCCTTCAAACAGAGAAATAGCCTGAAAAACAAAAGCTACAGGCACAGATATGGCAACCTGGAAAAAAATTAAGCTGTATCTTCTGAGATAAGGCAGCAAGGCCCAACAAAAAGAGCCTTTGTTATTTGCATCATCAGCAAATTCCTAGGAAAAAGTTTCCTCCCCTTTTCAGGTATGTACATGGTGGGCTCCAAGGGAACTTGCACAGGGAGATGGGCTTACCTAAAACAGACCCACAGTTACACAAACAAGAGAAGCTGTCCTTTGTGCTTACCTGAGACATACCTGCAGTACATAGATAAGGAGAGTTACACAGCTACTACACAGATAAAGGAAGTTAAACAGCTAGAGAGATGAAGGGAGTATTTTTTTTTATAAAAGATTTTGGATTCAACTGTAAAGTTGGCAACTTTCTTTCAGGCCCCCTCTTTGCTATGGAGAGCTTTCTTCTTTCAATTATTAAACTTTCACTACAATCTCACCCTTGTGTCCAGGTTCCTTAATTTTCTTGGTCATGAGACAAAGAACTCTGAATACTACCTCGGGCAACAAGACTGAAATACTGTGGTCCACTGGCAAGACTGCAACACTTATACATCAGCCCCTGGTTTTAAGAAAGGATCCTGGTTCCTGTTTTGCCTCAGGTGGGGCACATTTATCTTTTACCAAACCTAAAAGTAGGCTTTGCTTTTAGTACTGATCCAACTAAGTATTGATCCAAGTAAGCACTGGCTTGTTGTGCTCAAGTATCATCTTGCAGTTGTATCCATTCTTCTAGCATGAAACGATTTCTCTTATTTTTGAGCTTCACTATGCCTTTTTATTTTCCTTTAAAGAGGTTCTATGTATCACTGCTATTTGCTCAGAGTGGTAGGAGGTGGTCCTCAAGAAATGAACTTACAATTCTGTATTAACCCAGGCCCCAGTTTAGTCATTAGATGATTAGAAATAATGCTTTGTTTTGTTTTACATTTTTAAGTTAAAACTAAGGTTCAAGTTGTTTTTCAATTAGATAGAGCCCTTTGATCAGACTTTATATGGTTTAGATCTGTGTCCCCACCCAAACCCCATGTCAAGTTGTAATCCCCAATAATGGAGGTGGGGCCTGATGGGAGGTGATTGGATCATGAGGGCGGAGTTCTCATGAATGGTTTAGCACCAATCTGTTGGTGCTGTTCTTGTGATACTGAATGAGTGATTGTGAGATCTGGTTGTTTTAGAAGTGTGTAGCACTGGCCAGGCATGGTGGCTCATGTCTGTAATCCTAGTACTTTAGGAGGCCAAGGTGGGCCGATCACCTGAGATCAGGAGCTTGAGACCAGCCTGGCCAACATGGCAAAACCTACTAAAATACAAAAAATTAGCTGGGCATGGTGGCACACACTTGTAGCCTCCAGCTACTCTGGAGGCAGGGAGAAGAACCTGGGAGGTGGAGGTTGCAGTGACCTGAGAATGCACCATTGCACTCCAG